GATTTATTTTCCTTCACCCTGGATGCTTATTGTTTTATTTCATATTCGTTTCCACACCCTACAGTACAAGTCTGTGTCTGCAGAACCACCCATTTCCCTTGAGACGGGGCAGCAATGGCTCGATGATGAGTGTGTTCTCTAATTGAGGGCTTTTCTAGTGTACTTCTACACACACAACTCAAGTGAAAACACAAACACAGTGCCAGTGAGGGCAGTGGAAAAGCGACATATTCAGATGAGGTCCGGTCCAAAAACACATCATGTTTTCCTGGAAAGGCAGTGAGTGAGAAGGTGCCTGTCTGCTCTTTTACCACTTAACAAGTGTAGGCAGAAGGGAGCTGCTCACTGTGGTGGTTTTCCCCGTGGCAGAACATGCTGACTTGTGAAAACAAAGTCTGCAGACTCAAACTGAAGCTATTACGCTTGGTGAGCTTATTGAACAAGATCTCGCTGAACAGCTGTGCTTTGGTGTACTTTATTTATCTTCACTTTCAGAGATTTGCAGTGTGTGGGGCTCACCAGCGTGAGCTTATGAGGATTGAGAGTAAAAGCGGAGTCATTTAGAGAGGGGTTAAAGATCCTCTTTAGACATCATCTTTATCAGCTCCGTGGTAGATTACATGGCCTGTTGCTCTTTGACTGTTGTATCAAGCAGATATGTTAGGATTTACTGAGACTAATATCATGTGCTTCTTCTCCCCTGCCTCTGGAAATAGGAATCACAGGAACAGACAATAGCATGCTTTGTGTGATCTGTTTGTCTCTGTGTTCTCTTTCCACATCTGCCGGTCATACAGTAAACCTCGTGTCTCCATCCACAGCCTGGAAATTAAGGCGCTGGTTGGGATTAACCTTTACTTATCCAAACACAGCTCACTGAGAATGCACACACTTTTACTGCAACGCTCCACTTCACTTTTACACTGAAAACCACAGTATTTCATAGAAGGTTTTTAGGTGTGGTCATGTGGTCGGTGCTGTATTGAAGTTCATTTAAGATCTGCTTTTAGCAACAATGGCTCAAAACAGCTGATTACAGCATTACTATTCAGTAGGGCTGAGTGATATGGTGATATATACCATATGTTGTCTGCACATTTCAAATAATCGATCAATTTTATATTTCTTGTCGTGTAAGGTCGTTGTGGGCAGTGTTGATATTTAATGAGCAGGACTGCGTTATGGTAGTATTGTGGTTTGAAACATTGGTGAATCACTGTGATGAAGTAACTTGATTTGTCAGGCATTTAGAGATATTTCTAATGTGACTATATTAGCATTATTCTAGTGACTAAGGTGGGAAAGAGGCATGCTACACACAGCTAGTTGCATTATCTTACTGGATTAGCCAATTAGGTTTCTTTATATAAATGTTTTTCAGCTGAATTTCTAGATATCCAGTTCATAATTTCAATGTGTATATCACAATAAGGGCTAATTTTGACCGAGAACTATTCATTTGACTGTTATCTGTATATCTATATGCAGTGCCTTTCTGCTCCAACCTAAGCATATGGCTGCAACTGTCATTTCCTGTTCAAGTCATATGGCAAGTAACAAACAGTTTTAGCTTTTCAGTACATTACCCTACTAATTTTGCCTTCTTGGGAGTAAACAATGAACTATCTATCAAATTTAAGTTACAGTAACAGAACTGACTTACGTGACATTTTTGAGTTTTGTGTTAGAATCCAAAGCTTAAAACATTCAAAAAACAAGACAGACAACTGCAATACAGGATTGTTTGCCACTCAGCAGTATTAATGTTATACTCAAGTGCGAACAGTGTGCTGCAGACTGCCCATGGCACCTTCTGTACAGAAGCTCTTTGAGTTTTGGGGGACCCTGCCATATTTTGCCAACTGGCCTAAAGATTCAAACATGTAAATTATTTTATTTATGACACTTAACTTTCCTCTACTACCACTGTTCCCTGGTATGCTAGTTTTTCTACAAGCATAAATAGATTTCTTTGTTTTTTTTGTTTTTGACAATAGCGTGTTAAGTCTTTGCTGTATGTGTAACTGTAAAGCAACATCTAAAGGAGTTTCCACGGAAGTCAGGGTTCAGAAATAGCATGTTTCTTTTTTAGTGTCGACCCAGGCCCGTTTTAGGAAAAACCTTAATCACATGTGTAAGGCGCTGCTTTAAGAAGCTTTTTTTCATCGTTTCCTTGTTTAGACATGCTCAATTGCTCTGTATGCTAGATCACAGTATGTTTCAGATGTGGTCTTGCATATCCAGGGACGCTCTCTCTTAGGAGCTGAGGGGTTACAGAGCAGAGCTGTGATCCAGGCTGCCTACACAGCTCTTGGGGCTTTTTCCCAGGCCAAGAGCCCCAGAAATAGAGTTTGACTTTCTCTCCCCTGCAGTGAACCAAAGTTTCCCACTCTTCCACAGAGCTTAGGGGCCCCAGCTGAGTTAACCATGTGCAAAACTGATAACCAGCTGCCAATACATTCTTTGTATTCCTCCATAATTTGACTATAAACATGAATAAAACTGAATCTGTCACCTTATATACTGTATGCAAAGTACGTATTTTAAGTCAGGGAGGTATACGCATTGACATTATTTTCATTCTACATTAAGAAGCTCATTAAAGATAAGCTCTCGCTGTGAAAAGACGCATGGAAGGATATTAATGAATCTGAAATGACCAAAAATGACTAAAACCAGAAAGTTGTTGAATAGTTAATGCTGTTAAAGCTTTTTCAAATCAGTGCTCACGTTTTATTTAAGTAACTGAATAATCAAAATATGGAAAATATAATCTTTGTTGTACATGACCAAATTCCATTCCCAACCTTATGAGTAAACGTGCTGTGGTGTTTTTGGGGGCTGATAGACATTCCTCCCGTCATTTACTGTAAAGCCGCTATAAGGAACTTTGTGTTCATTCTGGTGGCCCCTGTTTGTCTGATTTTGAGGGGAATCCGACTGAATCCGACCCGGTGCCACTCTGCAACCATAGCGTGAATAACTACATAGAAATAGTCTTGTTTGTTCTATGTAGAGGCGTCAGTATTAAATTGAGACTGTTTCATAAGCAGTTAGAAAGAAGATAGAAAAACTGAAACCTTGATTTTTTTTTCACCCAAAACATCTGAGCAGCAATTTAAACAAACAAAGCCCCACTTCCTTTGCCTGTGCTGTTGTGACTAGTATGGCGCTCCGATGGAGGCATTTGTTTTTGAAGGACAGGAAAGAGTTAAACAATTAGAGGTTACAAAATAATGGTGTGGAGAGTGGGTGGTCCCTGATGATTACTATTTATCACGGATGAGAAGAGAGAACTCAGGAAAAGGGTTGGGATGTGGATTAGGACACATAGACGGCACAGAGAAGCGTAAGCAGAGGCACTTCGGGGCTAGCTGATGCTGTAATACATTTGGGTGGAGGCAGCAAGGTGGTGAGGTCATGTTGAGAACAAGGGGAAAAAGGAAAATAAAGCGGGTGATTAAATTGTGGAATGTGTGTATCTGTGAAGCTTGGGAGATCCATGTTTCCATGGGCCACGGCTCAAACTGTGCAGAGAGCGAGTGTGCACACCCAGGAAATGTGACAGAATTGGCAGCTGCGAGGAGAGGCATTAGCTTTTTAGTGGTTAATAAAAGTAGGATGGAAATGAGATGTAGTATGAAAGCCAGAAAGAGAAAGGGCGGAGAACCACAAGCACTGACTGTACAATGCAAATCATTAAATGGTGACCCTGGAGCTCAGGCAGCCGTCATGATGTAAACAAATGTCTCGGCCCATGCACAGCCCGAATGCATGGCGCAAAAATGACTAGAACCTGCACAAACAAAATAATACTGGAGTGTTGTTTTCAAGGCTTACGTTTGTGCACATTCCAGCCCGCAGCCATCAGCCAACTTATCACTTACGGCACAGATATGTGGAGTGAGTTAATGGTCATCAAAAGGGAGCGTGGAGGAGGGAAGTTTAGCAATCAGCTTGGGAATAGTGGGAGAGACTGCAAGTAAAGGAGCCAAGCAGTGATAACAGTGTGAGGCAGCAAGGACAGGTCCCTCCTGTCACAGGCTGCTGCTGATGTTGAACAGCTGTGGAGAGAGGGGCTCACTTCCTGCGTCCTAACCCACAAAATATGCTTTCAAAGGGGAAGAGATGAGTTTGTTCAGCGCTGAACCCAAGACACTGATGGAGTCAGGGTTTTGCTGTGTTTCTCAATCCGTCTGCCTTTTCCTGTTGAGAAGAGGGAACTGAAACATGTTCTTTATCTTAGAACATCTCCTCGCTCAGCTGCGGAATGGCTCTCAGCAGAAGCCATGCTTAATGAGAATGTATTTTTCTTTTAGCCGTCTTTGTTCAGCAAGTCACTGCCCTAAATAACATCATTCAGTTTTAGTGCCTCATTAAACAGGGCAAAGGCCTGCCATGCATATATCTTAGAATTCATTAAAATTGACATTCTGTTTCAAAGTTATAACAAACAAACAAACAACTTATCAGATCAGATCAACAGGATCAAAAATGTGTTGTTAGTAACACATTTATACAAAATTGTTTGGCTTGCTGTGACTGAATTGTGGTCCAATGCTATTTATATATTTGTAAATGTTCAAATCTCATCATCTAAATGAAGATGCACATTTAATATGCAAGGGCAAAAGCAAGCTTGTCCAAGTCAAATCAGTTGTATGCCTTAGTTGTATGAGATTTAAATAGTCATTATAAATACAACCATTGGCCTCATGTAGGGCATTAATGTTTTCTAATCTATTTGAGCAGGGGTTCTGATAGTGCTCAGACCTCAAGCTGTATTTCCACTTTGAATGGATGCGCTGTGGCAGTTAGTAGGAAGTGAAAAAAGCAAGGGCATGCAAAAAATCCTTCAAAGAAAATGTGTTTATCTGGTACACTCTTATATTTCCCATATAGCGTCTTAACCAGCAATGCCCTCAACTCATGGGAAGAATTACTGAATTTTAAGATGCAAGCAATATATCACATACTGTATGTTTGTCTTTCTTTTCCAGGAGGATTCTCCATCCAAGCCATCTGTGGCTGAGCTGGCTGGAAGGTTCAAAGGTCATATTCTACCAATGCCCACCTCAAATGATGAGGTATTTCATTTATATATTACTGTATCCATAAAAAAATATACAAAACCGTGTGGTTAGCTCCGTAGGAGTACATCACTGCATATAGCTTGTGATTATATTTGCAATTTCTCCTCATTTCTGTTTGTAGTTACGATTTCGAAGACGACCTCCATGTTCCCTAAAGTTGCAAAATCCAAAAGATGATAACGAAGAATCAGATGTAAGTTATTTTGTTCCTCTACTAACCCATGTGCTACAAATCAAGTCTTTTTGATATACAAAGGTGGTCTCCTGAAAACAGACTTGGATTTGTTTACTGTACGTTTTCATTGCAACCTCACAATTTCAACACAGTACACAGTGCACTGTTGCCAAATCGGCCGTTTATGTGTTTCTTCTTCGTCCTAAAACATTGGAAAAGTTATGTTTTTCTGCTGTTTTTTCTTCCAGTGAAATTACTTCACTAACCACACAAACTTTTATTTGCGTTATGTTAAAATGTTGAAAGCACCAAGCGCGACAAAAGTGCAAAAATGCATAAATCAGAAGCATGTACAACAAAATGTTATTTGTAAGTTGTTTTATTTATTAAACACTATTTAATATACGTATATTGTATGTATATTAATCGAATACTTACCGGAACATGGGCTTATATCACCATCATCACTCTGCTGTATAATGACAGTATATATACACAAAATGCCAGTATTAGCTTTCCATGTTTCAAATGAGGGGTTGTGATCATTTTGTTAATTTGTCTTTTCATTAACTCCAGTTTGGCTGTGTTCTTTTGCAGAAAACAGTTGTCTCTCCAAATCCTTTTAAAATCAAGATGAAGAACTCCCCTATCATTGAGAAACTTCAGGTAAATGCACCTTGCAACATTTGAATGTTTTGTAAGGGAAATAGGAAACAAAATAAGTACTAGCTCACCAATGATGTGTTATTGTAGGATGTAGTGTACGGGCGGAAGTTGTCAGGAGTCTGTATAGTTAGGAGACTATAAGAAAATATTTAAAGCATCACTGCCACCCACTGTTCAGTTGACACTGGTGCCTGAGCTGCTTGCATGCTGAGAAAAAGGGGAAGGGCTTGTCCCTGATGCCACAATCGGCTCAGATTAATGATCTAATGGGATCATGGGCCACCTAGGCTCTAGATGAGGCTCGGCTTGTCACCACCGTTCCTTTAGATAGCAGTTCACACGGTGGGCAGCCATGGGACAAAAGGGCTGCCGCTTCTCCCTCTTCCTCTTCTCCCCAGTGCAGGTAGGATACTCTCCTCTGAACCTGAACAGTGGCTTGAGATTTTATGTACTTCAGATGTCAGAGTGATATGACAGGTGTTGTTCTTAAAAATGTCATTATGTACTTCTAGCAGGTGAGCTTTCAAAGTCTTTACCTCTGTAATACTTATCATCACACCCTTTAAATGTCATTTTTTAAACATTTTACAAACTGCTTTGTGACTAGACAAACGATCGCTTCTTAGTTTTTACTTTTTATCTATATACACCTTTATATTTTATATAAGTAATGCCGCTGTTCTTCTATCTATCTTTTTACTATCTTTTCCACACTTACTTATATTTCATTATGAATGACTCTCATGTTGAATTTCACCTGGCTCACTCTCTGACACGATCATAGGTTGATTAATTAATAAAGTTTTGTTTAAAGACAATGCACTAAAGAGATTATAGTGTCCAGGCTTCAGGATCTTCCTTCCCCCTGCAGGCCAATCTTGCTTTGTCACCCACTGCTCTGCTGCCTTCACCCAAGAGTCCTGAGGCGAAGCTCCAGCCGGCACTGTTGTCCCCCACCACACCCTGCAGCCCGGTGAGCCCCCTGAGCCCCACCTTGCGGCCCTCACATCAGTCGAGTGAAGAAGAGGATGGCGTCAGCTTCAGTAACCCTCCTGAAGGCACCCCGCTGCCGAGCTTCAACAAGGTAAACATTTGGACCCGTGCAAAGCTGCACATTAGCATGGACAAATAGATCTATTTGTTACATCTCCTTATAATGCAATTGGATTAGTTTTGCCGTATTACTGTAATCATGTTGAAGACCGTGACTTTCAGAGTGACAAAAAGCCTAGCTCATACTCTTCATATATTTGTGTGGGCTTCTGAGTTCTGAGTCATTAAATGACAAACATGAGCCGCTGTCACATTGAGGACCCTGAAGTGTTTCTCATGCTATTTGCTGAGTGAGCTGTGACGTCACAGCCAGGCACATGGTCAACGTCCCCGTTGACGTGTTTTCTCAGTGGGTGTTCTGCATCTTCTGTTTAAGCAGGCCTTGGATAAGCTGGAGCAAGATGTAGTGCATGAGATCTGCTGGAGGGGGGATTGAAGATTTAATCCCCTTAGCCTAGTTAAGAGTCTCTAGGTACCATTTTGTGCAGTGCTCTCACGCATGTGCTGATTAGACTTGGACACTTACCAGGAATAATTTGATGATACAAATTAATTGATATTGAATATAGAGTCTTAGCTGTCCTATAGATCTCAGTTGCCTTGATTTTTTTTTTTTTTGTTTAAAGACATGATGTAAATTCCCTGCTGACTCTTACCCATCATTTCCACACAGACTCGTGCGCGGCTATCATTCAAGAGGCGCCCACCCACGAGACAGCACAGGAGGTCAGCTGGAGAGGAGGCGGGAGCCTTCGGGACAGCTCTGTCCCCATGTGAACTGTACAGCCCAAAAGAAAATGGGGACAAGGAGCAGGTTTTCGACAGCCCGGCAGAGGATAGTGGACAGCCGGCCAGTCTGAAGACAGCTGAAGAGAAGGACAGGGACTGTGAAATAACAGAGGATGGGGTAGCAAAGAGTGACCCAGACAACAGGGATCCGAAGGAGGAACAGGAAGCAGAACAAGCCCAGAACTTGGAGACTCTGGAGGAGGAACAGCAGGCTTCAGAGCCTTGCCCTGACAAGCAGATAGAGGGTGATGTTGACACAGAAGAGGGTCAGGAGGAGATGGCTCAGTAGGAAGACCAAGGGGGAAATGGCCGGGTGTGAGCTGTGAATGTTTAAAGGAAAAGCAAATGTATTAATAACTTATTCAGTTTCTTTAGAGAACTGAATAAGAGAAAAATACTCCTCCGAAAAAGATTTGTTTTAAAGAAAAAAAACCTGTTTTTAAATGTCTTGGTACCTGCTCTGTTTTAAGTCCCTCTGTCGCCCTCTCCTGGCCATCTATATAGAACAGGTCTATAAACACTGGAGGGTTATGAGAAGCAGCTGTTCTCTGCACATGCAAATAAGCTGTTGATAATGTCTCCATTATCAGGCATGATACTGAGTCTGCATGACCAGACTCCTGTCTTTATGATTAATCTAAGTCTCTGTCGTGTAAACAGGACTTTGGAAATACTGAACGCTGGGTTGACAAAAGGCAAAAATATTAGACTTCACATATATGTTAGCACACATAGAAAAATGGTCTGACATACCAAATCACGATTACTTTAGGTTGAAATGATGTAATTTGCTTATATAGCTTTCTTTTCATGTATGTTGGTCTACTTCTGCTTGTCTTTTATTTTGTATACTATTTTGTATACTACAAAATATTTTAAATCACAGAGCTACTATGGAGGGGCTCAGGTCCTCAGCAGTTATGCACAGAAATGTTAAGAAAATAAACAGGCTCCTTCTTAGGTAAGAAAAGAGTTGACATTGACATGTGTTTGGTCAAATGTGTGGGTAAAAGGAACCAATATGAGTCAGTATTGATGGATTATAATTTTTGGTAGACCTATCAGTAAATAGTCCATGCTGTGTATCGTCTCCTGAAACAAATGTTTGCGATGGTCAATGCTTAACACCCTGGACAGGCTTCAGTTAGATTAATCCCAAAAAGTGTGATTATGTATGGTCTTGAAAAGGCCCTGCACACCTACGCAATACCCACACAGGAGATTTAATAGTTTTCTCTCTTCTCAGCGCTTTGTCTGTATGTTGCTGAGCCCCTGTCGCTGGAGCACCAGCAGGGAGAGATTCCAGTTTTTTATGTCCTGACAGTTAGGCTGAGCGAGCATTACCGCATTAAAAGAGCCCCGCAGGTGTGTCTTAATACATAACGTTACCCATTTTGTAGCGATAGGCCCATTATCAAGCATTTTGAGGTAATCAACGTTGGCAGATGTCTGCGCTCACGAGGCTGATGAAAAGAAAATGTCTTTAGATCTATCTGCAGGCAGCCTCGTCAGCGTAGCTGCTGTGAACGTCGTTAGCGCTCCCCTTGTGAGTTCTGGGAAGGTGGTGAAAAAGTTGGTTTCGAGCCCTTTACTATAACTGTAATGCATCCTGCTGTACACATACCCCTTAATTTCCTTTAGAATAGATGAGAAGTGAATTTTCTGTTTTGATATCAGCATATATATTGGCCGTCGGCAGCCCTGGTCTCTCTCAGCATCGGTCGACCACTACCATTTTGTTCATTCAGTGGCAGCTGATTAAAAATGTTAATTTATTAGCTCTTATTTAAAATACAGAGTGGCTGGAATAGTTGTTCAAAACTGAATGGAGCATTTTGGTATATTTGCCATCAAATTCAAGAGATGCAAATTTTTAATTAATTCAATATGCGCCTTGGTGGGGTTTATTTTAGTTCTCAAGTGAAATGAAGTCATGAAGTGAAATAAATCAGACTAGAATGAGTTTCTTACACATTCACTGTTTTGATTTGTTTAATTTATGTTAAAGGAGGCAAAGGTTGTGTGACAGTTGGTGTTTGAGGTAATAATAATATCAATAATAATTTATTATTTATATGCCATTTATTCACAGTCAAGGCCGAAATTATTCATACCCCTGGCAAATTTTGACTTACAGTTACTTTTACTCAACCAGCAAGTTTTATTTTGACCAGAAATGACACAGGCTTCTCCCAAAAGATAATAAGATGATGTACAAGAGGCATCATTGTGGGAAAAAAAATGTCTCAGCTTTATTTACATTTGAACAAAAATGAGGAAGGCCAAAATTAGTCATACCCTTTGCAAACTGTCACAGTCTTTGGGAAAATCCAAAGTTCTATACCATTCCAAATAGTCCAAGCTGTTCTAAAGCATCCTAATTACCCTGATTCATTGGGAACAGCAGTTTTAATCAACTCAACAGGTGAAAAACAGCAATTCTCTGCAGTTGGTTTGTGGACAGTAATGGCTAAGACAAAGGAGCTCACTGAGGACCTGCGGCTGCGCATTGTGGCTGCTCACAAGTCAGGAAAGGGCTATAAGGCCATATCTAAATGTTTTCAAGTTCCAGTGGCTACAGTGCAAAGTATTATTAAAAAATAACAGACGTTCCGCACTGTGGGAAATCTCAGAGGACTTGGTCGGAAGCCAAAAGTGACACCTGTGCTGGCCAGGAGGATAGTGAGAGAGGTGAAAAAGATCACCACTAAGGCCATCCTGGTGAATCTGGGCTCTGCTGGAGGCAATGTCTCAAGGCAGACAGTCCAACGGACACTGCACACTGCTGGGTTCCACGGACGCAGACCAAGGAGGACGCCACTTCTCCACATGCTCATCTGGACAAAGAAGAAGTTTTCTGAGTTCTTCTGTTTTATGGTCAGATGAAACAAAAATTGAATTGTTTGGCCACAATGATGTATCCTTCATTTGGCGTAAAAAAGGAGAAGCCTTCAACCCTAAGAACACCATCCCCACTGACAAACATGGTGGTGGGAACCTAATGCTTTGGCGGTGTTTTTCAGCCAATGGACATGGGAACCTAATCACAGTAAACGGCACCATGAAAAAAGAGCAATACATCAAGATGCTCCACAACAACATCAGGCAGTCTGCAGAGAAACTTGGCCTTGGGGCACCAGTGGACATTTCAGCACAACAACGACCCAAAACACACAGCGAAAGTGGTGAAGAAATGGTTAGCGGACAAAAACATAAATGTTTTGCAGTGGCCCAGCCAGAGTCCTGACTTGAATCCAATTGAGAATCTGTGGAGGGAGCTAAAGATCAGGGTGATGGCAAGGAGACCCTCCAACCTGAAAGAGTTGGAGCTCTTGGCTAAAGATGAATGGGCAAAAATACCAGTGGAGACATTCAAAAAGCTGGTCAGCAATTATAGGAAGCCTTTGATTGCTGTAATAGCCAATAAAGGCTTTTTTATTGACTATTGAGAAGGGTATGAATAATTTTGGACATGCCACTTTTTGTTCAAATGTAAATAAAAGCTAAGAATTATTTTTTTCTCCCCACAATGATGCCTCTTGTACATCGTCTTATCTTCTGGGAGACGCCTGTGTCATTTCCAATCAAGAAAAAACTTGCTGGTTGACTAAAAGTAACTTTAAGGCAAAATTTGCCAGGGGTATAAATAATTTCGGGCTTGACTGTATATTGAAATATTCATCGATCTGTGACCCCAGACTCATTCAAAGACTTCAAGGCTGAAACACAGATCTCCCCTAACCCTAGACCCTGTTAGGGTGGGACAAATTGCACCTTGATAATTCTTATTAGTACATGGATTCACATATTTTTGCACTGTAATTCTGTCCACTTTCAACCTGAGCAGAGGTCTGTTCAGAATAACCAAAGGCCAAATTATATTCTATTAAACATTAAGCATATTCAATTATTTTTAAAGGAATGGCAAAGGAGTATTTATAAAATTACATTTCTTTAATATCACTATGTATGATCTGATTTGTTTTGGACAGTGTGCCTGTTCGTGAGGGCATTATTATGAAAACCTAGTAAAAGTTTTATTAAAGCAACATTATGTAAGAATTGGTATTTTTTTTTTTACAACTTGGTACCCCTACAGTTTCACCACCGGCTCCAACCAGGACTACTCTACCTCAACTTGTTTGATTGATTTACATTTCCTTGTGGGCAGAAAGCCTTTGGATTAAAGTAACCACAGACTGCTGATCGCAGCTACAGTTAGCAGCGGTTTAAGAACAGTTATTTTCCAAGCTACTGTAGCTGTCATATATCACTCGTGTGAGTGTGGAACAGGTTGGACGTGTATTAAAAAATACCAAACTTGCCTCTTAGTTGATGACCCATCATTGGTGGTGTTTAACGTAAGGCCGTAAAGCATCACGCATTTCTCGCAGGCGTTCAGGGCGCCAAGTGTGAATGAAAGAGGCACCGTTCTCCCCATTACATGGTATATGTGTGCCACCAAAAAAGATTTTAAAGTTGTTTATTTTCAGGTAAAATAGCTGCATAATGTTAATTCATTCATGTTTTCAGACTTTTGTTGACCTCCACTGCTGACCATACAGAACTGCAGTACCTGCAATAATGGTATCTCTGTCCCCTGTAATTGGTAGGACTTTACCCCAAAATTGCAACTTTACTTTAATGGGCCATGTCAAGTAATTTCTTTACTGACAACCCATGTTTTTTTTTATTTATTTTTTTTACTGCAAGTTCTTTTTAAAACAGAATAAAGTAATAAAAAAAAAAAAAAACCTGGTGTAGCATCTGTATACACTATAAAAAAGGTTACTAAGATAGATAGATACTAGATAAAATACTTAATAATAATAATAAATTATAGTTAAATGATATTATTATTATTATTATTATTATATAGGCTAACTGTAAACAAGTAGACAACTATGGCTGATTTTAAAGATTTACGGTCCTCAACAGCCATAAAATACAAATACACATAGGCTACATCCTTTGGTTAAGTTAATATTTAACCACAATACAATCCTGAGCCATAAATACTCGAGGGGAGAGTTTGATCTTCAAATACCTTTGGATGGGCTACCTACAATACGAATAGAAGTCAGTGTTTAACACTTGATATTCAGCCTGATAACGTATCCTAACGGTATGTGAACCTCTGTAGCCTCCACTTACTGTGTCAAGTTGTGTCATGTTCAGGCGTCAGTGCAGTCGACGTTTCCTCCCCTGTTCCTTCACATGACGACGACGCCTTCCGACGTGGGCTGCGCCGAAACTTTGAAGGAAACTCACCTGTCAGGAAAAAGGACGAGCTTCGATAGAGAAACCAGTGACCTCGTCTCACAAACACCAACCACCTGCGAAAGGTCTGACAATGTGAACTCGCTGAGTGACCTGTTGTCTTTTTTTTTTTCCCTGGAACTGGTGACTTTTTGAACCGCATCTGGGACGTTCATGACCCCGCGGATAGTGTAGTTTCTTTTAACAAAGTTATAACTGTAAGGGACTTCCGGGTATGGAATCAAACAGCTGGAGGCGAGCCAGCATGGACAATATAGAGCTGCTGCCGGTCACGACGAATGGCAACGATGGACGGGTGAGTTAATGCGGGTGAATAAGTGAGAGATTGTTGAGCTGCCTCCCCAGTGTCAGTAAAAGTAATACTAGTCATGTTATCATACAAATAAAATGATAGTGATGATAGAGAGTGCAAATAATCAGACGCACCCTAGGCTATATACTGTATTTACTACTGTTTTCATTAAAGCCATTATTAGATTAATCACTTAGTTGACAGATAATTCATTAATGATAGCTGATTAATTTGTTTGAATCATTTTTTCCAGCAAAAATGTCAAGCATTTGTTCCCTACAGCAAGTTTTTCTCAGGTTTTCGTTGTCTTATGTGATAGTAAATGTTTGGCCTGTTGGCAGGATGAGACAAGCAATGTGACGCAACCCCTGGGGATTTTGTAAACAGTGACATTCCACAGTTTCTGCTTTTTTATAAACAGAACAACATGGAATCCTTTGCGGTGTTTCATAGTAATATTTCCCAGTATTTGCCTGCTCCTAGGTGTCAGCAAGTAATGGAGATGGTGTGCCCTCTAGGAACGCTGATGCAACAGAGAGAGATGCGTTGCTTACGGGACAGGTGAGTTTCCAGTGGAGGTTGTGTTCTTGTGTATGTTTTATATGGTTTTGTTCATGTTTACAGCGTGTTACAGAGATATACTGTATGACCATTTGTAAAAAAAAAAACAACAAAAAAACCCCCAAACAAACAAACAAACAAACAAACCTGTGGCTGTGTTTTTTAATGGAAATACACATGTTGATATTGGAATATCAGTGCCATTTTTTTCGGTCAGCAGACACGATTTGCAGACCAAAATTACAGAGATAACAATAACACAGCATTCATTTTTGATTTCTCTGGAAAACCCTGTGACAACAACTCATGTTGGTCACTTTCAGCATTCTGGGAAGTGAATGGATCAAGATGAATGATTAGATATACAGTGAAGGGAGGCAGTGACATAATGCCTGTTGTGTCTTTTAGCAGAGTACTACGAGTACTGGTCAAAATGGGCAGATGTTGCCCGATGGCAATGCAGCAGAAGCTCAAAGGGATCTGGAAAATACAGGAATTCCTCACGAGGTATGAAGACTTTTAGTAAGACATGTTAGAAATGTGTTGTCTTTCCGGCATTTCCTCTTACACTTGGAATAAAGGAAGTGTAACTTCGATGTTACCATGTGATAACTCACTTTCTTTTCCCACCCATCCCCCGACTGGACACCAGAGAGGAGAGTGCAGCTATAAATAACTTAAATGGATACCTTAATATTCAGAATTAGTTTTCTTGTTTCTCAGTGCTTGCCAGAAATTAAAAGAATACTCTTCTTGTAACTTTTTATGCTCTGTTAGTAGTTTGTCTCATTAAAGTGATACTCCATCTTAGTATCAAACTTGAACCCCCATAGACTGTAGCCATGTCTTGACAAACAAAGCCATTTCATTCATGCTTTCAGATTAGCGCCGTGAGCAGGATAAAGGGCGAGCTGAAGGAGGTCATCTTCTGGAAAGTCAGGCTATGGATGGTCATCATCTTCATCTTCCTCCTCATCTTTGCTGTGATTATAATTTCGCTGGCTGCGTGCGCAGGTAAGGTTTCATGATGAGGATTGTTGTACAATGTATAATACTAAATTTATTAAAGATACGTGCATAGACATAGACAGAGTGAGAAGTCAGGTGAATCAATTAAAATTTATTTAAATGACTGATCTGTAACAAGGCAATTTATCCTACTTTACTACTAATTTCAGTACAGCTGTTACTTTTCCAGTTGAGAGGCTTTGACCCATTTTCTCTTTGAGCAGCGTCGTACAAGGACCCGGACGAGGACTTTGACCCATCGCTGTTTAAAGTTCCTCGGTATTTCAACGGGAGCTTCCAGCTGCCAAATCTGGTCTTCACGGAGGAACTTTCCAACCTTTCCACCAATAAAAGCCAAGAACTCGCTGCTGATTTTCAAGAAAAGGTTTGGCCACTTATGAGCTATATTTCAAATAGCATGCTTAATAAATTCATCTTAATTGATTGTATTTATAACTCAATATATATACTAACTGTAGAAGATGCTTTTGTATACAGTGTTTTTTCCTTTCTTTTGCTATTGCATCAGTTGTCTCCTAGCAACCACACCTATATTAACATCATAATTAGAGAGCCGACTTGATGAATACAGTATAAATGGCTTAATATATAACAAATGTGGGAAAGATGCAAAGAAGTGAATAGTTATGTTATTTAGGCATGGTCATTTTATTTACAGTGTATTAGCACATTGCATTACAAGTAAGAAGAGTGTGCTTTACATTAGACAACATGCATTACTAAATAAATTATATGAATATGATAAATAAAATACAACAAAAACATAATATTTTAAAATGATGTAATTTTTAAAACCTTTATTGAGTCTAAGTTACTCTTGGTTTCACATTTCACACTGTAGTCTTATTTGGTGTAGTGAAGTACATGTCAACTTTCTCAACAAAGACAGTAATACCACAAGCTTCACAAAACAAAAACATGTTCATAGCTGCTGCCGTCAAGAGATGAAAGCACCCTGTAGCTGATTTCAGCTCATACATTTCAGTGAAACGCCCTCAACAGCAGAGTAGGGCTCACAGTGAAGTGAAAGTAAGCCTCAGCCAAAAACATGCATTTTACTTTCATTGTTTGCTTTTGCATGCCTCATCCTGCCACATCCAGCTGGCTGACCTTTACAGATCCTCCCCTGCTCTGGGAAGATACTTCTCCAAAGCTGAGATCTCTGCTTTCAGGTAAACGCACATCACACTCAGTGGCTTTAGACTACATTTCTCACCACTGCTACATAAAACCACAAAATGTAGCCCATTTGTCATTTGTACATTTTACAAGGGAAAATGTGTTGAGCTACAGAACTTCTGTTTTACTCTCCCCACAGAAACGGTTCAGTCATTGCTGACTATCAGCTGACATTTCTCATGCCTGAAGAAGAGCAGGATCAGTTGAGAAACTTTACTCTGAGCCGGGAAATGGTGTACAACGTGTTCAGACAGTTCCTGTACGACCAGGAGCCAGATGAGTCAAAGCCGATGTACATAGATCCAGTTTCGCTGATCATGTTTTTAACACACTAATGCCAAACGTTCTCAAACAGATAGGACATCTGTATCTTGCTTTCTTTGTCATTTAAGACACTCCTCTCACAGTGTGTGGGTTTTTGTAACATATGATTCGTCACACTTCTGTGTGATTCTCCCATGAGTCTGTGGAAATGTTGCATGATGCATCTTTACTGCAGAAGCATGCATAACCACAGCCCCACAAACCCACAGTGACTGTAGGTCATATTGATGGTCTCATTGTGTGCTTTGTTCAACAAGCTTTTAAGACGGCGCCTAATTAAACCAATCAACAGTGCAGGACTTGTCAGGTAAAATTGACGTCTGCCTACTGTCAGAGTGAGTGGTTTAACTCCCAAGAGATTGGCAGCAAGAATCTGGGCTTCTGAAATATATATTTTTTATCTTGTGTTTTTTATTTTATTGTGTATTACTGTGCCTTCTTTAACTGCAGGTGTATTAAGTGTAAGAGTATTGGTATATATGTATGTGCTGTAATTATTTATATTCATTCCCTGACCATCACTGTAATTCGTTTTTGTAAAATATACTGTATGACCATTTGTAAAAAAAACAACAACAAAAAACCCCCAAACAAACAAACAAACAAATCTGTGGCTGTGTTTTTTAATGGAAATACACATGTTGATTTGTATATCCGTGCCATTTTCTTCGGTCAGCAGACACGATTTGCAAACCAAAATTCATTAACTGTAAAATATTTGCCTCGAGAGCAACAGACATTGCAGGAGCTTTAGAGAACTGTGCAGGGAAATTAGCCTGCAATCATTTTGTAAGTGTAGGCTATACAAGCCTATATACAACTATATATGTTATACACAAAGAATCCATACTTTGTACAGTACATTTGTTTGTTGTGGTTGTTCCATATATACATATATATATATATATATATACAACAGGACTCAGCTTTTGCCTTCTTTAACCTTCTGTATTTCTAATCATAGGGTTTAACAGTAGAGGGAGTGCCTGTCCAACATGCAAATGAACAGTAAATGTTTTTTTGTCTACAGGTTGTTGCATTTAATAGCACAGGTGTTGTATAACATTTCTATAAACTCAGTATGTCAGATTGCAGTCTGTTTCCTGGCAGCTATCGTGTCAACATGTCTGTCCTCCAGTAAGATCACAGTTGTGATTAATGACCATGCCAAATATTAACAGTCACTCTTCCACCAGATGGTTATTAATTAGCCGTCACTTCAGCTGGTTGCACTTGGTGAGACTTGATGGAAAGATTTGACGCTTGAGCCGACAATAATTGCCAAGTAGAGTTTTTTTTATCAGTTCATTTTTGTGGTGAGAATACAACTGATTAAGGTTGTAAGTAATGGTTTGATTAAAATAATCATGGAAGATACAATAACAAATAAAGTATATTTTTGCAGCTACGGTATTTGTCATTGCTGAAACTGCAGTTCCTGTGTTTTTACAGTAATTTAGTCACAGTATAACTTTAGAGTCAGTCATTTTACAGTGGACTTTTGTTTTGTTTTACTGGAAGACAATATGAGAGAAGGTAGATTTAACCCCACAACCAGCTGAGTTTTAGGGTTGTGAGTTACAATCCCTTTTAAAATGAAATTTTTGTCATTTTTAAGTTTTTTCTGCCAGGGAAATGCATTTTCACGTGCAGTTCTCAAACGTCCTCGCTGCATGATGGTCACGTGCTGGTCAAAAGGTCAAGTTTAAACAGCAGTGGGACCTAAGAGATTTCAACAGCTTATTACTGTACATAAAACAAAATCACTCCAGCTGCTCTTTGAAACCCTCAAATATTGCATGATAGAAGATAAACAAGAATAAACCTGCACTTGGATGTGTTGATTCGGACTGGACAACATTAGTTGACTTAAGCTGCTTTTTAGTGTATTTAGGGCTCAGGGAAGTCTTTTTCTGTCTTTTCTGCAAGTAAACACGATTCTTAATCTGTTGGCAGCAGCGATCATGTGCCATGGCACAGGGCAGCAGCATGGATCCTGGTTGTGTATACCTTATAAGCTAAATACTAGCTGTCTGTGGTGTCTGTAGCCACTGGTGGTCCATTTCCTCAGACCTATTTGGAGAATTGTCAGTCGTCTAAAACCAGATTTACTATAATAAGCATTTTGAGCTTTGATTGTCTGATTGGTTTAATCAACACTTCACTACTCACAGGCCTTTATCGCGCCCATAATCCTCTAAGGTCAGCCTTCAGTCAACAGTGCTGGTTAAACCTGTATTTATCCGGTCTGGCGTGTCTGTGCAAAGGTTTTATATATCTTTATTGACTCAAACGGTCAGAGGTAAAATCTACTCTAAATGCCATATGTATAAAGCTTGAAAAATGCTTTGTTATTTCAGGGTCTATAGGAACAGTTTTAATTTCACAACATTAATGGCCCGCCTCCCTGCATGTTGATATCACACAGTTATTTTGACCTGGTTTTGGGAACTAAGGCAGGAATGGGGTGAAAATGATTTAAATCTTTGCAAATGTTAGATAATGTTACAAGGCAAGGGGATTTGTTTGTATATAGAAGATTTCATTACAGGTAAACTCAATGTGCTGTACAATGTGCATTCAGCAACAAATCATATTATAGTAAAAGAAATACAAGAATAATAACACTGACAACCACCCGCCCTGCAAAAGACATCCACATCCACAGACAAACACACACACACACACACACACACACCCACCCACACACCGGGTCTGGATCCTATTCTAGGTACAATTAGAACACCGCAACCTGCTGACCGGAGAGGTTTGACTGGACTGTAGTCACTGAGCAGGTAAAAAATTTACTGTGTGTAAAAAAGTTAATTTTTAATTCCTTCATGTATGTGTTTTTCTTTCCAAGGTACAGTATGATCCGGTTATTGCTTACACTGTTACTGACTTGTTAACATACCAGGAAAACTAAGTGCAACATGCTTAGAGCAGGGGTTCCCAAACGTTTACATGCCAAGGCCTCCTAGCATTATCTTACAGCCGGGGCCCTCCTTTTGCAAGATGAAAGATTAAGTATGTTTTGACTAGAAGGCAATAAGAAAGATGGGCATGGAAAATAAGATTTCAATATCTTAAATATTATTATATTTATAATCATTATTCTAAATAATATTTTATAGTAATAGACATTATATAATAATAATTTGCTGAAGCAAAACTTTTTTGTGGTTCTAGCTTTTATGTAATCTTTTGTCCCAGACTCTCCTGCAGCCTGTCTGACCTGAGCACCAGCAGCAACCTTAATAAATACTGTATTAAGCAATAAAAACTGTAACATTTGGGCTCCTTTACATCTTTAAAGCGCATACGCCATTCTTTAAACCAGAGTAACACTAGAAATGACTTCAGTATTTATAAGCACAAAATGTGAAAAAATCTAAAATTAATAGCTTTTAAATGTTACATGTTTCTTATACCCATACTATGTATGACTTTATTTCTAATAATAACTTTCATGTGATGTCTCATTAGGGGCTTCATGTGTTACTTGTAGTTTAAAAATATCCCCTAGTCTGTTCATGTTTAAAAAGAGGATAAGTTGTTTCCGAGAGGAATCTCCTTGGTTAATTCCTTGAGGAATGCCGGATGTGTGAGTGGGTGCACAGCTATGTGGGTAAATTTAGATTATTTATTAATTTGCACACCTTAAGGTTTGTGACTATGTAGGTGAGAAAACAAAATAATGGTAATATCTCACTGAAGGGTAAAGTAAAAACTGTACCAAAAAAAAGAAGAAAAGAAAATGAAAAAAGCAAAACATACTGGAATAGAAATATGGGAAAATCAAAAAAAGAAATACAACTTTGTCCTCCAGCTCTATGGTAGATGTGGACCATCATGTCTTCAATTAAACCCTGTATTACTCTAAGAGCCAAGACTTTAAACCTGAGGGGGCTTCCCTCGTTGCACATGAGAGTCCCATCTCCCAGAATATTAGCAACCAGCCCCACTGCAGCCAAAGAGCATGCAATGTCCTGAGGTTCTTGGAAGACTTCTGCTATTATCCCATTAAAGGGTTATCTCTGCTTTGGGCTGTCCAAGGACTTAAAGATTAAGGTGGTCGTTGCATGAGTTCTCAGTCAGTCCTCGTTGCTGCCTGTGCTCTGTATGCACACTTTACACTCTCCTCCTTCTTCACTGGCTCTCTGCAGGATTCTGGGCAAAATCAAAACTCTGGAGGAATAATGGGCGCCAACTTCTCCAGCCTGGATGATATCCTGGAGGAGGACATGCACCACTGGTACACCAAATTCATGAAGGAGTCGCCTTCAGGGCTCATAACGCTCTTTGAGCTCAAGACTATGCTTGAAATGAACGGTATGACAGAGGAGGCTAGCAGCTATGTGGACCAGGTCTTTTTCACCTTTGACATGGATGGGGTAAGGAAACACCAACAATAGATTTCTCCTTCCCTGTTCAGGAAAAATAATAGATTGTGTGGTTCCCTCAAAAGTCTTCTCAGTCTGGTAACAAATTGCCAACTTATGAGACAGTTGCACGGTGTATTCCCGATGCATGCACCTTGTTGAAAAAAATCGAATCAGGTCTCTAGTATCATTCCAAACTTGGCAGTGGGAAATACGATGCTCGCTGCATTATTTCAAATGGTTTTACAAGAAGAGTGTAACATTTTAAAAGGACTGTTCAGAGATTACAGAGATCTCTGATGTTTTAAGAGGGATCAACTCAGGTTAAACTATTCTCTACTCTGCGAGTCCTGAACTCTTTCACAACGCTTAGGACAAAAGGTCATAAATTGTACATTAGAAGTACACAACCCTGTATAGCATGATAAAATGCAAAATTATGCAATTGTTATTTTGAAAATTTGAAATAATAAATCTTGGTGGATGGATTCATAGTCTTTTCCCTAACTCTATCTTTTCTGTGCCCTTTTGCAGGATGGCTATATAGACTTTGTTGAATACATTGCAGCAATAAGTTTATTACTGAAAGGAGAAATTAACCAGAAACTAAAGTGGTACTTCAAACTCTTTGATCAAGACGGAAATGGGAAAATCGACAAGGACGAAATGGAGACTATATTTAAGGTGCATTATATTTTCTTTGAATGTTTTATTATTTGAGTTTTACAGAACTAAGGAAGTGAGCAGCACATAGTTTCCTGAATCACAATGCTTAGCTGCTCTACTCTGAAAGAGTAGAAATGGGTTTAAATGGCAATGAACTGGGCATGACACCTAATCCAGGGGGCTTCTTATCTAACCACAAGTCTAAATATGGCCCTGCCTGCAACCTAATTCACTCACTACAGATGTTATACAGTAATCACCCTACTGATTACATGACACATATTCAACTTGTCAACATTATACATATAACTGTATACTGTTCAGGTTGCTATATATCATGGTTGTAGTAGAAGTAATAGCAGTAGTGCTATAGATAGGAGTGGGTGTAGTAGAACCAGTATACAGTTGTCTTTTTAAAATATTATTAGTTTTACATACATCCATTACTTATTAATGCATTCAGTAGTTGAATGAGAAAAGGCACTGCGATTTATTTAGATGGCATTTAGATTTTCAATTGTTTGTTTAACTAACAATTAACTGTGTTCACTCTTCGATCAGGCTATTCAAGATATCACCAGAAGTTACGACATCCCTCCAGATGACATTGTGACTCTCATATATGAGAAGATTGATGTCAATGGAGAAGGTAAGGATCATCTTATCAATCCAGGACTAATGTAACAATATAATGATTTATCAGCTCTGAAAATAACAGTGCTCTTGGTTAGAAATAATGTCACCATGAGCTGTGTAGACCAGTGAAATATTGCATTAATATGAAGAATCAATAAACACTATAGTGAAATTTCCTAGTATAGGATTTGTTATTTTCAAACAATAACCTCCATTATGACTATTAAAAATGTGTAGATTTCAATCTTTGCTACTTGTCTCCTCAGGTGAGCTGACATTAGAGGAGTTCATCAGTGGAGCAAAGGATCATCCCGACATCATGGATATGCTCACCAAAATGATGGATCTTACCAAGGTCCTGGAAATCATTGTCAGAGGTCAACGGAAGAAAGCTGAATGAGTGATCAACAAGCTGGATTGTGTGGAAAATCATTTTTTTGTGGATTTTCAGAATATTGAGGAGTGTATGTGCTTGACTGGTGAAGAGCAGAGTCCCATCTCAAACTGCACAGAATGAACTGAATGAACTGACTGAGCAGTCCCATGAAGATATGAACTCTGTGTATGACGCCTGAGGAAAGCAAAGAATTTGTCCTCCTCCCTCTGCTTGTGCTCTCACATTACTTGGCCCTTCAGTTTTGTTAAGGTTTACAACACTTCAAATCACTTTGATTTACTTAATAAACAGCTTAATGAGCTGGAAATATTGTATGGGACTTTTAGTTTGCAGAACTGTCAGGCACAACGTGAAAAGCAGAGTGGGTTACTTCATCCCTAGTCAGGAAGTAGGCTGTGGGTGTAAGCCTGCCATTGACCTACTAGAGGCACCATCACTCCATCTTGGGCTTAGCGCTGCCCAATATGATGTGATTGGTTTAAAGAAATACAAACACACCAGACAATTTTTCCCCTATGCCAGAATGATAATGGGTTCAGCCAGACCTTTCTCCAACACTGGCACAGCGCTAAAACTAAGTGTGGAGATAGGTCTGGTTATGCAAGACTACTTCATCCCAAAATGACTTAAACAGCTTTGGAATCATCTCTTATTCATTTGAAAATATTAATTTATTTACTGAATTCACATTTGAATATGTATTAGTCATGTTAAAGACAACTGCCAAACTCTTTGGGAATTTCTTACAAAATTTTATTACAGAAGTTCAATTCCTATGCCATCTATGTAATTATTACAATATTTGGTTGTCGACATGTTAACACTCAATGGTTATCGTCTAAGACACTCAGTGAGATTGTTTGTTCTTTGTTTTATAAGGTTGTTCTTGTAAAATGTGCATGAAAACTACACTGTTGCTTGTAGAAAAACTGAATGCTAAATGAATATCCATGTAGTAACTGAATGTAAAAATATGTGACGTGAAATGTAATGTTCTACTAGGATTTACAATAATTAAGGTTACAATGTTGCCTTAAAAATCAATACAATGTTTTTGTTAAAAACTGTTTCTTTCCTTTTGAAGAAAATAATCTGGCAGTCTACTGTATATAGCTTTCATTTTAACATGCAGGGGGATAGAAATTCTTGATGTGATTTGCACACATTGCACAAACTGGATTATTTTTTCTTGAATATGTTTACTATATGGTTATGCATGGTGCAAATAGTGGAATTTTAAACATCATCAAATCAGGTCAGATCAGTCAGAAAAGATATTTTAAAAAAGTTATGTAACAGAGTAATATCACATATAGCACGTGGAAGCATTATCTCTTGTGGGTTAATCAGTAACTGATGAATGCACAGTTTAGACCCCTGACCACTGAAAGAGCTCAGAGGCACCATCTTGTGAGCATAAGAGCCCAAGTGACCCAACCCTGTGTTCAATTATACTGCATATGTGCAGGACAGATAGAGAAATGCAATTTCAACTTTCATATTTCATGGGGGTAACAACTTTGTTGATACATTTCATTCCTTTATTGACTTATAGTCCAAAGAGAGGGACAGCATGCTTAAAGACACTGTTCTGTTAAGCAGACAAAAGGATACAAAGATTTCATCTGGATCCTGATAATCCAGTGTGAGCGTCCTTAATTTTTGTGATCATATCAGATGATAGATATAGATAGATATATACTTTATTAATCCGCTATTGGGGAAATTCTTTTTTTCAATCTTTTATTTTTACACACACACAGGCTTCTTGGGGTTAGGTTGCCTTGCTCAAGGGCACCTCAGCAGTGCACAGGCGGTGAAACTGGCACCTCTCCAGCTACCAGTCCACACTCCATATTTTAGTCTGTGGGATTTGAACCAGCAACCCTCCGGTTCCCAAGCCAAGTCCCTACACACCGCCCCTCATACATTAGGATCATATCAGGTCCATAATGAATCTTAATGTTCATATTCCCTTTTGTCTTTGCAATACTATGTGGAAAACAGACATCAGCAGAGCCAGGGGTTCAAGTGCATAAGATAACCTGCAAATCTAAACACAGCTGACCTTGGTATAACACTATGGTTCATTCCTCAGTTCATTTCCAAATTAATCAATATCAAACCACGATATCCCTTTATACAGAGGTCATTTAAACATAATTGTCTGTCCTGGTTAATAATTTGACAGCGGTTCATTTTGGTTTACACTGGTTTTGACATTGTTATGACCTCAGAGAAACAGCAGGTTGTGTAAATCAAATAAAGATAAGGCTTTGACTCCACATAGCACTCAAAACGTTCCTAAATCTATCGGATGATTCAATTGCATAACTGCCGTGATCAACCCACCTGTGCTCATCATATAAATTGACCACAATCTGCTCTCATGGCTTTGCACTGCACACTGCTTCCTACTGTCAGCCACCACAGCACAGGAACAGTCGACCACATCCAACTGGAACCATGCAGTCTGCCGAGGCCAAATTCAACAGAAACAGCCTGCTCTTGGCTCTGAGACAATACAGCTCAGTTGTGAGGGACATGGAGCAGACCATTCTGCTGCCGAGCCTGCTGCGAGACGTGCCCTCCGATCAGGTATGGGACTGTGACTCAGCAGAGGAGTCCTGCAGTGACCTGTATGGCAACTACGAGATGCTCAAGGCCATTAGAAACACAATGGAGAGCGGCCTGGTTTACCTGGATGACCACCAGACCAAGAGCAACACTGCGCCCAACAAGAACATGGAGCCTCTCTTGGATACGGATCCTGAAGCTCTCTTCCGCTTCCACCTGACAGGACTGTTTTCTGTGATGAGTGACCTCACCAAGAAGACTCAGAGCCTTACTGAGAAATATATGGACATCATTGGAGTTGCAAATTAGAAAACACGCAAGCTATGTGGACATCGAGAAGAACATCAGGTGTTTTTGAAAATGCTGTATACGTAACAAAGTCGCCTGAACATCTCAAGTGTTTGAACAGTTTACATTCAGTGACCCTAAGCTTCTAACTTAATTAGTAAGGAATAAACATGCATTTCCCAAACTGATTAATTCAGTCTCTTCTTGATTTATGTCCAAATGCACAACCTTAAAGAGAGTCATGCTTATTGTTTTGACTCATCAGGAACATTTCACTCAGAAAATGTTGGATTTGGGTATTTTCTTTATTTACATATCTATATTTCACAATAAGACCACTAAAGACAGGTGGTAGTCTGCAAATGTTTTCTCTCTTCCTCACTCTTCCGTCTTCCAACAGCCACGACACTTAGCGTACAGGATAGAAGGGCATGACAATCTCTGCGAATGTCTTTTTTTCTGGTGAGATAAAAGAAACAGAAACAATTTGATATCACACACACACATGGGTCACCATGTTTTAAATCCCTCTGTGAAGACTTAAGAATGTCCTATTGTACAAACACTGCAAGTTATGGCCCAAACCACTCTGCATGGGGTTTCATACCCTCATACTGACCATGTTTTTAAAATGTTGGTCTGTTATTAGCATATGATTGCAGTTAGTGGTGGTAAAATGAATGAAGAATACATTAATAAACATAGAATAACATGTAACAAAAACAAAAAACAAATCCACCAGATGACTATCACACCACAAATGTTCATCTCTCTCTCTCTCTCTCTCTATACACACAAGCAAAGCAGTGTTGGTTTGTCGTGTCTGTTAGAGCAAAGACAATGAACATTCACTTACCCTTGGCTGGAAATTCCTCTGGGTGGAGTTTGATATACCCATTCATTTCTCTATCATGCTTGGCATAAATGTAATTTTCATATTTTGTAAGGTGGTAGCCGATGAACCAGCCAACTGTTGCCATCAGGACTTGTCGATGAACACCTAAAAAAGGAACATAGCACAAACAAAGCAACACTATAATATGAACTTTGCACTAGGGCTGCACAATTAATCGGAACATTATTAAAATTGCAATATGGCCAAGTGCAATGTGCAAATCACGAGAGCTGTAATGTTTTGATAAAAGTGTGACAAAACAGCATTATAATGAATTACTGTAGTGCTGCAGAGGTTCCCTATACAACAAATCTTGTTCTCCAGATTTACAGACCCCCCCACAAATTTCACATCATCGTGTTTTTAATTGTTTCATTTTTTAGTGAAAATGTAATTTGTGATACAAAAATGATCATTCCCACATAACTGTGAATCGCAATATGTCAAAAATAATCACAATATGATGTTTTTACAATATCATACAGCCCTACTTTGCACTAAAAGCACAAATAAAGGCTTTCATTGTGCTAATGTGGAACCAGTTCAGTTTCATGTCTTTTTTACTAAAGCTACCTGGTACTGACATTAAATCCAATACCAATCTAGAACAAAGAAATAAACAACGCATAAGTAAACTTCATCAGATGAAGTGCACAACTTGAATCAAGCTCTGAAACTAAAAAACAAGCACCAAAAGTCAGACCCTAGAAAGGTTGCTGGGTGAGTTTGTCGTCCATTTAGTAAATACGAAACGACGAATATTAATATTATCACCCACCTATCACTGTTCTATGTCTGTCTGCAGGAGCTTGTAAACTATTTAACAGGTTTTATTTAGTTCATTTGAGTCCAGTAACGTTAACCACACACATTCAGCTATCACAACAAGTCCCTGCTCCGCTTTGACATAAAGCACGTTACCTCTTAATGCAACATGTCGGGTCAGGTCAGGTTTTTTTTGGGGCGTTTTAGGATGAAATGTTGTCTACGCTTGAGAGGAAGAGAGACAGCTAACAAACAATGCTAACCTGCTTTTAGCGGCGGCCTGTGGTTGACGGCATTATGGAGCATCGCGCTGCACCAGCCCACACCGGCCAGCCACACCGAGCACCGGTTGACGACTCCCGGGGGAGGGAGACACTTCCCCTCGTCTGGTAGGAACACCATGGCGAGAAATCACCCGTTCAATTTGGAAATTTAACTGACCTCCTCCTGGCCGCCTGCGTTTCCTTCTCCGCTATCACCTCTCGTAGGAAGTCAAGGGCACTGCGTGCAACCGAATGTAATGTCCGGGCACGACAAATGAAAACCGCTTCAGTTCCGTTTATTCTGTTTCCTAGCAACCGACTGCAGACGGTAAAACTTTACAAAATGTGATTAACGTACTTTGGATCACGTTAGTCACATTTATTTGATTTTGTTATCGCTATAAAGGCATACGCATAACACTCTTATGCGAGCACGTTAAAGACGGTCGAGGTAAGGATTAGTTTCTATAACTTTAGCTCATTTTTAGTAACGTTAGTTATTACTATCACCGTGGTAACGCCAGCAGTAGTGGCGTTATAGAAATAAAAGCACTACGAGCTATAATATGTTTAATATGTTTATGTCCCTTGTGTCTTTGTAACAGTCATAATAAACTTAGAAAAGCTGCAAAATGCCGGTATGATGCTTTAATAATGTTAAGTAAACCATTCTATTATATAGCAAGTTGTGAGCTGATCAGTTGTGAGCTTATCTGTCATCACATTGCACATTTATTCATGTTTTTTTTTTTTATACAGCTGACAGATTAATACAGTTACAGGATTAAAAAAAAAAGGTATTCTCTTTGAAATGCAGTGGAATAAATGCATAACATTTAACAACAGAGGAATACTTAAAGCTGCAGTAGGTTTTTAGTTTTTTTTTTTTTTACATATATGCTTTAACTTTCACTATATCCTGATCCTGACAGTAGTTACATGAGACCGATAAAAAATCTGGTTCCTCTGGCTCCTCCTGATGCTCCTAATGGTATTTTACAAGAATCCACCGAGCCTAAAAAAAACAACCAATTAGCTCTGAGAAAGATATAAAGACGCTTTGGGCTGAAAGCCTGAAGATAATTGATTGTTTGGTCTGTAGCCTATGTGATGCCCTGGGAATGAGACTGAACAATCAGCTTTCTCTCTCTGCTCTGATTGGTTGTTTTTGTTCAGGCCCAGTGAATTCTTGCAAATGCCATTAGGAGCAGTAGAAGGAGCCAGAGAAACCAGATTTTTTTTTCTTCAAATAGATAATCTCTCTCATGTTTAAAATCACAGGACATAAAAAAAATATATACTTTTATATATATATATAAAAAAAAAAAAAAAATGTCATGCTGCAGCTTTAAGTTACAGCTCCTCAGAATTACACTGAAGTGTATTAGTTACTTTGCATGTGAGCTGATGACATCATTGAGTGCAGTCCTCCTCCTCCTCCTCTTCCTCCTCCACCAGACAGGCTGCTGCTGAGAGAGCTGCTGAGGAGGATACACACACACACACACACACACACACACAGCCAGAGGAATTATGCCCTGCCCAGCTGTGGCTTTGCCTGTTTGATGAGGTGACCTATGCATACTAAGTGATCCTAAGTCCGGGGATATCCCCGTGTTTTTGGTAAGTGCAAACTATTTCCAGGGTCGATGCGCAGGGCTCATTGAGATGTTGTCTCCCCTGCATCTGCAGATAGTGCCAAAATGGCTAGAGTCACACGGTAGCAGCTAGTTGCTACTGTTGCTAGCTTCGCCCCTTAATGGCTTTCAACTCAGGCTGAAAATGAAACAGCATAAGGAGGGAAAATGTGGCGATAACTCGGGTTGAGTCTGTGCACAAGGCTACAGTGTTACTCTGCGGTACACGACGGGGTAAAAAAAAAAAAGATGGGAGGAGGAAATGCGACACAGAGACATTTTCATTTATTCTCAAGCGAGAAAAAGCCCTCACGTATGGTTCATTGTGTCATGGTTGACATTCAGTGATTCACGTCGCCTTAAAAATCAACAGTTTGATTTCTTGAAATGTTTTTTTTTTATTATTTTACAATGAGATATTTAGTTTTCACGCAGGTACAGGCCCCCGCTCACAGTGCTGGTGGCGGAGCAGATGTAACGGTACGGCGGATAAAGCTGAAGCTGTATGTGTTACCATCCCTGTGTGGACAAACAGAGACCCGTTAGTTACAACCTATGTGCTTAATGTTGCGGATTATTCACTCAGCAACAGTGTTTGGAGCCTTCGTGTCTTTATTATCCCCTAAAAGTGATGCAAGGGCCCCTAAAAACTGCGCTAGGCAAAAACATAATGAGGAATCTCACGTTGTGCACGTTTCATATGATGTAAAGGTGGAGAAGAGAAATAGAAACATTTCCTCTGTTTTTCTGTGTGGTTGTTCTCAAAGTTCAAACTGTGCTCAGTGTTTGAAGCCTTAATGTAAATATATAATAATATGTCAAAATACAATTTGATAAAATGTGTATTTTATGAGTTATATTAGTTAGGGTTAGATACGGAGGTGTAACTACAACATTAATAGCAATTTTATTAAAACTCTGACTTTGAGGAGCAGAGACCTTTTTTTTTTTTGAGTGAGTGGTTCACAAAATGGACATTTATTTGTATCATTCAGTGCTCATTCTCTGCAGATCGGAACCAGGTCGTATTTAGCTCACAATTCCTCTGATTTGTGTTAGTGAAAGATTATTGAGGTCAAATGTCAGCTGTGATCTCTCCAGAGGATCCCGGCCTGTAGAATTGTGGCCGTAGCCCCTCAACATGTGCTGGAAGACAACTGTGTTAACTTAAGTCAAATGCAGTGATTTAATGTTAATGCATTTACTTATCACCCATTTCTTTTGTTCCTTTATTTCTCACAGTTTAGCATGAGCATGGAAGATTATGACTACCTGTTCAAAATAGTTCTGATAGGAAATGCTGGAGTTGGGAAGACATGTCTTGTCCGGCGCTTTACTCAGGTTTGTATAAGTCTGAGCTTATGTGTTTGGAAATAATTATTGAATTAAAGAGTGTTAGTGTATTAGACTGTGTATTCTCTCTTTATTTTAGGGCCTTTTCCCACCTGGACAAGGGGCTACTATTGGAGTAGATTTCATGATTAAAACAGTGGAAATCAAAGGGGAAAAGGTCAAGGTACACAAAGATTAAATAAAAAAAAAAAAATCTAAAATCAGATGCTAAGATATGATTTGTAATAGTTGCTCACTTCAAATCTTGTGTTTTCCAGCTGCAGATATGGGACACGGCTGGACAGGAGAGATTTCGCTCCATTACTCAGAGTTATTACCGTAGTGCCAACGCCCTCATTCTTACGTATGACATTACCTGTGAGGACTCCTTCAGGTGCCTTCCAGAGTGGCTGAGGGAGATTGAGCAGTATGCCAACAACCAAGTGGTGACTATATTAGTCGGTAAGACGCTTTACATTGTACTTTAATAACCGCTGGACCTCTTTAATCATCAGGCTCATTGTTCATTGTGAGAAAACTGAGAATATTAATAATAAGACGTGCGCTATATTTTACTGGAACTGGCCTGGTTTTTCCGAAGCCTACTTAAATGTGAATTGCCCAGCTGATATAGATCTGAATAGATTTGCAGAGGCCAGTTTTGTCTTTCATTGCATGATTTCTTTTACATTTTTGTCACTCCTAAGGAAAGAAATCATTTTTGTCTGTAATAAAAAGCTCACATGCTGTCTTTGCTTTCATCCATCCCACACATGCATGCACACAGGTACACCTCCACTTCCATCTGTCTTATCCTCACCCACACACTACTGTTCAGACTGTGATGTAAGTAGCCACATTCTTACCACTTGCGTATGTTGACAGATGAATGCTATATGTGTTACAGGTAATAAAATAGACCTGGCGGAGAAGAGAGAGGTTCTCAGACAGAGGGCCGAAGACTTCGCTGAGGCTCAGAGCATGCTGTATCTCGAGACCTCGGCCAAAGAGTCCGACAATGTTGAGAAACTTTTCCTCGACCTGGCCTGCGAACTCATTCGAGAGGCCAAGCAGAACAAGCTGGATAACAATGACACTGCCCCAATGCCCGGCGAGGGTAAAACCATCAGTTACTTGAGCTGCTGCAGCCTCAATTAGAGAGAGCTCAGCCTTCTGGCCGTGGTAACTCAGTAGCCATTGACTGTAGAGGGCAGATGGCCGAGCCCCAATGCCTCCGTCCCTCCAAGATGGCATAAAGCCACTTCTTAGTCCCGTCATTTCTAGTCCCATGCCTTTTTTAAGCTGTACAAGGGGGTTAGTCAACTTTAGTTTGGCCTTCCAGGAACAAGCATTTTAAGATGCTGCCATGATGGAGAATATTGTCCTCGATGCAGGATATAAAGTATGTTGCCTGATACACCCAGGAATCTGAGTAGGGCTCCATTTTGTCCCCTTCATGGTGAAATGGCAGAATCTTTCTGTTGGATTTTCATTAAACATCAATATTCACCAGCAGTATTACGTGAGTAAAAAGTACTACCAGGTATTTTGTTACAGATTCCTCATTGCTGACAACAAGTGTCACGATCATTGGAGGTTATCAGTAAATGGTAACAATATGTTTACATACAGTACAGTTACCAAGTCTGATGATCAAGTTGCAAAAAAAGCTCTGCAAACTTACCCTAAAATCTGTTGCACAATCATCCATTTCCCACTAATTGTTTTCTGCTCTGAAAATTGCATACAACTTTATTAACTTTTCATAATCTCATTTATGAGTAGTTATTTGCACCTGTCATTACAAACTGTGAAATATTTGTTCCCAATAGAAGATTTGTACCTGCTGCTAAAATATGTTTTTATGTCAAATAACGTAAACCGAGTATAAATACTACATTGAAACAGTATTCTGTGACGCCATTGTTTTGATTTTGCATACTCGCAGTGCTTGCAATTAGTCGGTTGTTATAGTATGAAGCAGTTGGAAAAGCCTCAGATATTGTCATCAGTAGAAATTATAAACAGTCTAATCAATTGACTTTTTTTATTTACTGTCAGCTGTTTCTTTTATCCATAGACGTGAATATTTCTGCCTTTGTTGTTGCTGCCTAGCCATGAAATTGTATCACTTTTTATTTGTTTGAAGGGGTATGTTCATGTAGTTTCGTATATGACTTGTTGTACTTCATATGCTTTTATTGTGAAAGGTCTTGATTGTCCAGCATGTTTTGCCATAATTTGTAGTGTCTAACTTTATCTTTCATATATTTGCCA